ATATTTAGATTCTCATCCCAAGACAACAATATGGAGACTTAACACAGCTCTGTTGAACGATAACAAATTTGAGGAATTTATTAACAAGGAACTTATGGAATATATAGATTTTAATAACAGCAATGAAATGTCCCCAAGTATATTATGGGATGCGGCAAAAGCAGTACTGCATGGGAAAATCATAATGTGGGCATCAAGGAAGAAAAAAAGAGAAATCTGAACAATTTAGTGACTTGACTAAACAGTTAAACATTTTAGAGCAGAAGCATGTTGGAACCAAAGACCCCAATCTTCTACAGCAAATTGCTGCAATAAGAGCGGATTTAAATTCTAAACTCAATGATAAGGTGATACTTAATCTCAAATATACAAAACAAACTTACTATGAAGATGGACCTCGGGCAAGGAAAATATTAGCCTGGTGATTGGGGCAACAACAACTAGACAGATCCATATATAAAATTAAAAATCCCATTTCCAACCAGATGGGTTTTTTCGCCTGACGAGGTGCGTGAATCGTTTGAAGTGTATTGCAGGGGGTTGYGTGGTTGGCCCGAACTGGTGGGGCTTCCCTCAGTGGAGCGGTTTCTAGACTCATTGGATCTCCCTTCAATTGGCGTGGAGCAAAGTGGGTGGATATCTGTGGAAATGGCACCTGCGGAGGTTGATAAAGCTGTCTCAAAATTGGGAACAAGTGGGTCGCCCGGTGGTGACGGATTGCCAGCTGAGTGGTGCAGGACTTTTTGGGAGACCTGTAGCACCGTTGCTGTTGAAGTGTTTTGATCGTGTCCTTGGGGGAGGTGGGATTCCGCCATCCTGGAGGCAGGCGATGGTGTCCATTGTACTGGGGCCAGGAGGGGACAGGGGTGGGTGTGGCTTGTGCCAGCCCATTTCTGTCTTGAGCATTGATTATGGAGTGTTCACTTCAATAGTTGTCAGTGGACTAGAGAGTGTTGTCCCCGGGTTGATTGGCACAGACCAGACGGGATTTGTTGAAGGTGGATGTGCACAGGATGGTGTGGGGCGAACGTTACACTTGTTTGACACTATGAGCAGAAATAATTTAAAATCTTTAGCAATTAGTTTTGACGCTGAAAAAGCCTTTGATTCTGTAAGATGGGAATATTTATATCTGGTTCTACAGCGGTTTGATTTTAACAACMCAATCACAAGTTGYTTAAAATCAATATACAGTTCGCCAGTAGCAAGGATCAAATTAAATGGCGGCCTTTCAGGCACATTCCCACTGGAATGAGGATGCCGACAAGGATGCCCTCTGAGCCCAATTCTCTTTGCACTCTTTATAGAGCCACTTTGCTCAAAAAATTAGGGAAGACCCAGAAATTAAGGGAATCATACTTAAGGGAAGAGAATACAAAACATGTCTATATGCCAATGATGTTCTGTGACCTTATCTGACCTAGATGCCAGTCTACCTTACCTCATGTCCTGCCTCCACCAATTTGGACTTTATTCAGGTTATAA